TATTGAATATCCCTTTCCCTTTCTTCAGCCTATGCCTATATTCAATTAGTAAACTACCTGTGCTCTAGCAAGCAAGTAAGCCAATTAGTCATCAATCAAACAAAGGGAGTATCTTCCACAAAGGCTGTGAAGGATCGTCTCTATATGGATCTATTCTTGTTGGGCCCCTTTTTTTACTTATTAAAAAAATCCATATCCATTTCTAGCCACAGGTAATGCAAATTTCTACAGTACTAGAGGGATTTTATCTCTTAGGCTTTACCACGGGTAATGTAAAAAGTTGCTCTCTCTACCGAAAGATCAGCTTTCTCATTGCATTCATAAAATGACTTTGCTGATCGATAGGAAGAAGCTTTCTATTTAAGAGAAGAAAGCCCTATCGAATAGTTTTCAGCTCCTCTCCTTACTCAGGCTTTGGTTTGGAAAGAATAATGCGTATAGAAAGGAAAAATACCCGCTTCATAAGTCCCCGATGTTTGAAGCTTTCTAATAAAGAATTGGATTTCGCTTTCCTTTAAGGAGTTCACTAGCTCTAGCTATCTTGCTGATCCACCTGTGAATACTATTAATGAAAGCTCTTTCACCCTGCCCGCGGGTAATGCCAGGGTTGGCAATCCTCTGCCTTGAGATCAGTGAGTGCTCTCTGCTTTGAGCTCTAATGCGTCTTCCTTTCCTGGTGCTGCCTATATGATAGTAGCTTCCAGCTTTGTGCTGGTTCAAGCAGTTGCTGAGGAGCGAGATGGGACCTTGGCCCTTACGCTGATGTGAGTGTCTAAACTTGCAAAGAGGCTGTTTAGGTCTTTTCCAATCCACTCAAAGAAGGAAGGAATAGACCAAAGAGAAACCCTCAAACAAAGGCAGAAGGGAGTTGGAATAGGAATTGCAGCTTTTACCTCTTCTCTTCTGGTTCTGGTGCTGATAGTGGAAGAAAACCGAGCTTTAAGGAAAGCATCCAGGCATCCGATTTACTTCCATTATTCCAGTAAGGCTAGTGCTAGTTCTGTGTCTCCAGTAATAAAAGATGAGTTTTGAGTGAACGAAACCATCAATCGTATACTTTTTTATGACTTCGCTTCGCTTCGAAAAGTTTGTTGGGTTCCAAACCTGTAGCTACCTTCCCTTACTTAGGAGTGAGCTCTTTCGGCTTTGCTTGCATCCAGTAGGAATTGAACCTACGAATTCGCCAATGTTGAGTTGGGGCGCTTTAACCATTCAGCCATGGATGCAAAGATATCAAGAATAGGCGTAAGGACAAAGAGAGATCAATCAGAGGCCACTCGACTCTCAACGCTTGGATTGAGGGCACCTATCAACTAGTTATAGGAAATAGATTCAAGTCTCACCATATCATAAGGTTCGATGTAATTGTCTGGAGAAAGGGAAGGTCTTGTAGTTTAATAATCCTTGGCAGGGGCTTCATTCTCTGGAATTGGACTCTGATGAGAAGTTTCATCCAGAGGAGAAGACTCTTCGTCCTCTTCACTAGCTTCTTGAGAGCTTGGGGAATTTAGCTCAGTAGCTCCAGATTGCTCAGTCTCAAGGTTATAACATATGCTCGACCAACCCTTGACCCTAACCCTCGGGAAGAGGTAATTGACCTTCTCAGTAGGCTATGGTTCAGCTTCAGCCAGCTCACTTTCTCCCTCACTTACCTCCGGAGGCTAAGACGCTTCGCCAGTTCAAATTTCCTTATCCTTGGTGATCTCATTGTCTTGCAAGCAAAGACCTAATCCTAATATGACTCGTGGATCGAAAAAATGACGTAAAGTGAGCACCGGCCACGTGAACTTCAAGCCTAAGGGCCGTGATTTCCTCTTCTCCAACTTAAAAGAAAAGGAAAAAGACCATAAAAACGAAGCGAAGCGCAGTGAAGTCATAGAGGAGAGCATAATAATAAGACGCCTTGGAAAGGCCTAACCAGAAGAGAAGGTTAAAGTTAGCCACTAGAAATCGATTCCTTGCCTCCGGGAATAGGAAGACTTCCACTTTACTGGCATAAAGCAGATTGAGTCTAAGACTAAGGCGTGCGTACCACTTACAGCACTAAGAACACCGACTGTGGATCCGGATCACTTCCTGGGACTGAGGGGAGATTGCTATTGTTACTGACACCTCAGGTAAAGGAAGAAGAGCGATTTACTCTACTGACAAGATGGGTGCATCCCCTACATTAGCCAGCCGCTTAGATACTAAAAAAAAAAACTACATTTGACTGACTATACTCTCTTTTTATCCCCCGCCGGGTGAGCCTAATATTAATTAAAAACTCTAAAGGAAAAGATGTGATACACGTCTTGGAGTGAAAGACAGAGAAAAAAAAAAAAGCTTTTTTTTCTGGAGATAAAAAAAAGAAAGTAAGGCGGGATGCTTTCTCTCTTCCCTCCCAGTGTCCCCATTAGTTGATATACTATATTGGAAAGGAATGTAATATCATTCTTTTTTTAGGCGGAATGGAATATGGATGGAATCGAGAGGGAAGAAAGAGTCCGGTTTTAGAGGCTTGATCAACTTTGTAATCACGGATCATCAACAAATCCCTAAATGCATCTTTATACTGTTGCCACGGACAAAAGCCCACGGAGCGGTAGGGAAAAGTCTTAGATTCTCAAGGTTGAGATAATATTTATGAAAATCCATCTCCACCTATGTTGTGCCCTTCCCCCCAAAGCATTCCGGCATCTGTTATTCCTGGTCTCACCCTGTGAAGCAAAGTCGGACAAGGGGGAAGACATGGAATTGATAGGGAACCGTAGCCAAGTGGCTAAGGCATGAGTCTGCAAAACTTCTATTCGTCGGTTCGAATCCGACCGGTTCCTACAGCGCCGCGCCATTCCACCCATCATTTTTGAAAATGGTTAATGGATAGAACGGGGGCCCCGCTTGCTCCTTCGTACTAGTGGCTTAGCTGCCTTAGTTTCCCTTCTTTACCGTATTCTTTTTTAGCAGTCTTTATCTTTTTTTTATGTCTTTAGTTTCTTTTCTCTTTCTTTAGCAGCTATCCTTGCTGGTATTACTGCTGTGGTACTATAGACATATCTAGTTCGTCTTTTCTTTCCTGAATCACGGCATGGGCATGAAGTGAGTAACTCCTTCCCTAAGGAAGGCTGACTGTCTTTAGTACGCTTAGCTCTTAGCAGAAGACCCCTGAACCTGAAAGAGTTCCTAAGCTTAGAAAACTCTATTCCGTAACTCTGAGTACTCCGGTCTCAGTTCACTAACTCAGAGCTTAGCTTGCGGATCGAACTCAGTCTCCGGATCCCGAAGCTAGCACAGAGTACTCACTACGTAGTTCACTAGAATATATATACAGACTTTCCGTAGCTCCCGTGTATTGAGTTCTTGCCTTAGTCATTCCTCTCCCTCATTCTAGTCGGTCGAGTGAGAAAGGAGACCTTAGTCACTCACTATAACTCAACCTAAAAGTGCGTTCATACTCTTAGAAAAGCCGGAAAGGAAAAAAGGGGGTGGTTCGAATCGGGCAATGGCAGGAGGTACTGGCAGGATCAAGGCGGGCAGAACCGGAAGTGCGTGAATGACCTTAATGCACTGTGATGTAGGTTAGCCCAAGAGCCTTGACTCTTTACTCTAGGTAATCAAAAACGAGGGTTCCTCTATACCACAAAAACAAAAACCGAGGAAGTCAGAGGCATCCGTGTGCACTTCAAAGGGTTTCATCATGTCGGGTAGTGCCAGCACGGGATCAGTGGACATGCTCTTCTTAAGACGCTCAAGCACATTTTTGACCTACGTTCCCATGCTTCAAAGACTTTGAGAACTTTCCTTACTAACTAGATCTGGTGCCCTAAGTGTGGACTCTTTCTAGAATACGGGGGATATTCTCATATCAAAACAAAAAGACTAAGAATCGCTATTCT